TCCTTGGCATGGAGATCAATTAAGATGTGACTACTGGAAGGATGTCGGTGCTTCAGACCAAGTTTACGTAGAACATTCTGGAGAAGTTTGGCATGGAGAACAGCAACCCTGTCAAGACCCTTCAAGACCCAGGCCTCAAGCTGACCAAGAACATGTGCGAAGGAGGGTGCTACCACGAAGAGACCTTGGCCAAGGTGCCTTATCGCCATGCCGTCGCCAGCCTGATGTACCTCATGGTTGGGACTCCGCCGGACCTCGCTGCTGCGTAGGAATGCTCAGCCAGTTCGCAGATGACCCGTGTCCCACACACTGACAAGCACACAAGCGCGACTTCTGCTACATTTAAGGTACAAAGACGCACGGCATCGAGCTTCGAGAAAAACGTAAAGAAGGACTTCATGGCTACTCGGATGCGGATTGGGCTGGTGACGTCGAGACTTGATGCAGTACGAGCGGCTATCCATTCATGATGAACGGCGGATGCATCACTCGAAGAAGCAAGAAGAAGCGCTCCGTGTCGCTGCCATCGACGAGGTGGAGTACATGGCGTTGACAGAAGCTGTTCAAGAAGCGATCTGGCTCAAGGCATTCCTGTGTGAGCTCGGCGAAATGAAGAAAGAGGGTCCTATCAAGATTTTCAAGGATCCATCGCGCTGGCCAAGAACCTCGAGTTTCACAAGCGCACCAAGCACATCGACATTCGCTACCACTCCGTGCGCGAGAAGGTTAAGGATGGTCAAGTGGTGCTGCAGTACTGATCGACGAAGGGCATGAAGGCAGTCCTGATGACCAAGCCGAGCACCGCGGTGTAGCTGGAATGTCTACGCGACAAGCTGGGGAAAAAGTCACCAAGCGCGGTCGAGTCGAGTGGGAGAGTTGCCAAGAAGGCGTCTCGTCCAGCTTCGGCATACCAGTAAAACCGGTTTCCTACGACCCCGCGATTATTACGGAAAGTTGATTGCGCAAACGGATGATTGGACGCGCAGGATAATTAGACAAACCCAGAGTGTTGGTGATTGGATGCACCAAATGATTGGATGCAGACTAGGACGTAAGACAGAGTAAGCTCCAATAAATCAATCACTTTGTATTTTTCCATCTAGTGCACAAACGACCTTCCTTTGAAAGCAGGCTTGCCCTTCGTTGGGCAACAATGTCATCTATTCTAAACCCGAAGCCGGCGTCATAGTATAAGATTGCCACGGCCACCACCTGACAAAATTATTCGCGATTTACAGCGCCCAAGCCCACCACCTGGCTCTGTCGACGCGTATTGACAGATTTCTTCAGGGTCCAACCTAGTTTGTGCATTTGTGGTCTACTCTGTGAATGTTGCCTTACCCACGGACAATGCCTTAGGTGAGATTCAACACACCACATTGGTGTGGTGCTTTTTTTCCTGTAGCTCTGATAGCACCGGTATTAAGCTTGATCTCCAGGACAATTGGCACCATCTATTTTTTTCTTTATTTTATGGAACATGGCTGTCACTTGTCTGCCTATACAGATAACGACCTCCGATGAACTTGTCGGCGACCGTTCGCCCTGCCCTAGATACCTTAGTGCCTTGGAAAATATTTCATCCTTAAGGAATGAAGGGAGCGGACCTCGAAAGGTCCTGATCAGAGCTCCGCAGCAACCAGTGATCAACGTCATTTTGGCCGCATACGCGAGCACAGACGCCAATTGAGAAGAACCACATCCCAGGACAGGTAAACTTGGCCGCTGCGGCAAGTGTCCATCACCTTGTTGGCTAGTGCGTCTACCATGCGTTTACGTGACCGGTAATAATGCTGCCAGGACAAAACATAAGTTGATCAGCCACCCACTGACACCGAAAGTAAAGACTTTTGAGATGCGCAGCCTTTGGGGGTACCCCGAGCCGGTGTTGACGTAGGATAAGGCGGCTAGATTAGATTGCACGCAGGGGTGAGCCTGAGATGTTGACATTAATAAAAAAAATAGGTGGGTTCAAAAACAGCGCAAAGCTTCTGCTGGTCCGCATCCTTAAGTCTCATCGAATGATCCTTATAAAACTTACGATTCGTAAGGAAGACCCAGTTGAGCACCCCAAACATGCACCTGCATTTACAGCCCTAGCGCTCCGCGTGCGCTTCCTCGTTGTCCTATCCTCTCGCACGCTACGCCCTTCAAAACTGCACACCCATCAAGGAGCCAACAGCCATCGGTGGGTTACCAGATTTAAGGTGGCAAGAATATGCCACTTATACCAAAACACATAGCCCTGAGTAACAGTGTTGGACAGGTCATATCCACTTCAGCTGTGGCTGCAACTGCAATCGTCATAAATCTCAGCAGCTCCACACTATTATCACCTTAAAAATAACGAACACTTTTAGACTATGTGGACTTGCAGAAGCTCACCTGCAGCTCAAAAACAAAATATGTTTTGCTCAAGCACTGAAGCGATTTTTATTGATCAAACATCCGAAGATATCCGCTGCTTTAAAAAAACTTGTAAGTCATATTGTGAATTTTCGGGATGCAGGGATTTGGAGTTGAGTCCACAATATTGCCGCGCCATTATTGGCAGAAGCTAATGGATCATTAGGCAGGGGTCAATGGATCAATGGATCATTGGGCAGGGGCTATTGGATCATTAGGCAGGGGCCAATGGATCAATGGATCATTGGGCAGGGGCTATTGCATCATTAGCCCCTGCCAATAATGGCGCGGCAATATTGTGGACTCAACTCCAAATTTGAATGTGCGACTTCTTTTTTACTTTTGATATTTTTTAATAGTAATAGTACTATTTTTGATAATAACAGATTCAATAATATTTATGATTTTAATAGTAGTTTTAGTAATTGTTTTCAAAAGATAGCATAGTATTTTAATATCAGCTCGGCAATTTGAAAAATATTAGATACAAAATCATATTTTACGATATTTTTCACTTAAGTACGTTTTTTGCCACCTTACCCTCTGCTGAGGGTCGCAAAAGAACTCTTTCGGCTCTAGAACAGCAGTATGCTTTAAGACTGACGAGTATTTGCTTTAGTATTTCACTGTGACACAGACAAAGGCAATTGAGATGGAGAACTGCAAACGCTTGCAGGTGTTTAATGTCGATAGAGCGCAATCAAGGTATTTGTTCTTGTTCTCTACCGATAGCCTCATCCACAACGTGCGTCTAATAAACCTGCAGGCTGTGACGCTGGAATAATGTGCTCAGCAGTGCCAACACACGACGCCAACCTTGCCACCGCTCTCACAATTGTCCCGGACTCCAGCTAGTCGAACGTTAACGACATCTGGTTGGTGGATTTAAACCGATTACGCAATCTAAAAAAAAAATATCGTACTAGCTAATTTTAAGTTGATATTTAATAATAGTATTTTGTCTCAAAGGAAAATATTAGGTGATATTTTTTTATATTAGCTGGTCAACAGGTGATATTTTCACAATACTAACTTCACGTTTGTCTCGATTGTTCTCGGCACATGCATAGGTACGGAAGTCCCCCTGAATAAGTGTAGCTTGCACTTCATATACCCCATATATATGATCACACGGATTGGGGTCTATTTGATGAACCACAAGATGGCAGTGATTTACCTATGCAAACTAATCAGACGGCACCCTACGCTTATTGAGGCGTACTTGTTTCTGTTATTTTATTTTACATGTACGACGTTCCGTCACGGTCCGTGACTATCAGGATATATTAGTAATACCTAAGTTTTACATTTGTGGTGAGCAAAATGCACACGTTTTTGCTGTAGATAAACTGTCATAACCAATAGTCTTTTCTGATTTTGCTGTTGTAGGAAACAAAATAAAACACATTAAAAGCGGAAATAGTCTGTTTTACCCTTTATCACTGTGAAATTTAATGAAATGAAATGGAAGGGCGACCCTATTCTCCTTAGCTCAACTGTCTCCTCACTTCAAAACCTGCCGACAAAGACGCAAGCTTACGATATGAATACCACAATCACCAAACGCAGCATTGCCACCAATCTAGAGTTCTCTTTGCTGGAACGCCTTCTGAACCAGACTGCAGACGACGTAAGCAACTGCCTCAAGCTGCTTAAGAAAAAACTCAGGAAGCACGACAGTCGCAACCTACCTGGTTTCCACTACCGCAGCACCTGCAAGTATTGTCTAAAGGTCGATATCCGTGTGGTGAAGGAGATGATCTCGGAGATGCGGGAAGTGGCAAAGCGGGTCAGCCAGAATAAAACACCGACCCAGTCGGACATCAATGCCGCTCGTATCACCGCGAATGGAACTGCCGACGCCTTGAATGATTTGGTTAAAGCTGGTCGAACGTACGATCAGAATAGAGGCCGCACAGACAATGAGGTACAGACAAAAATGACCGAAGGCGAAGGAATTCGCGAGAAAGCCGAGACGGTGGAAGCATTGGTGAAGTCAACTCTGCGCGACAACTTCATGGGGTTTGAAGCGTTGGAAACCCGAATCGCAGTTGTGGAGAAAGCACTACTGCCATGGTAAAGAGCTTACAGAGGAAGAGAGCCTTGCGAATATCTTCATTGCTACCGGTATTTCAGTCTAGTCAACACAATTTTGCAGGGTCGTGCCCATCTCCTTCCTCGCAGTTGCAGATACGAAAGTTAAGCTTTCAGCTGGACAAAGCCTAGGCTGTCACCCACGGATGAAGTCTTGATTGAGTTGATACAAGGTGTGGTACAAGCTGCGCTCAACAGAAATTGTCCTGCCTCAGTAAAAACGTAGTTTGCGCTCGTCAACTCTTTAACTGGCACAGATACATTATTTGATCCAACTTACTTTTAAATTTGCTCGTGTTCATCTTCAATCGGTCACTTACTTAACTTCGTGCACTGGGTTGCCAGTGGCAACTTGCCACGCAAAAAAGTGTAGCTAGCTTCAGACTTCATTCTACCGGTTGAACACGGTAAACCACAACATTTTTGCCAGCTGTTCTACCGAATTCTACCGGTAGAACGTGGTAATTCACTAAATTCCCTTCCCGCCCCCCACCGCAACAATGGAACGCTACTCAGAGTGGTCATTTACGGAGACGTTGTCGCTGGACGAGGTGGAGATCCGCGAGCGCCAGAAGGTAGACATGGACGGTGAAGTTTGCATCGTGCCCTACGCACACGCGATCCAGGGCCGCGAGACGACTAAGATCACATACAAGACGATCCGTAAAGTTTGCACTTATCTGGGCGTTCGCTACTATAAGAACCAGCCAAAAAATGTGATGTTGGAGATCATCGCCCAGAAGAAGCTCAAGGGTCAAGTGCCTGAGAGCTACAGGAAGAAGCGGAAAGTGATCGAGAGAGCGCGACCTGTTTGCCAGGATGAGAACAGGAATGAGAATCGAAACCCTACAGCGGAAACTCATGCACTGACTATCAGTGTCAAGCGCCAACGGGTAGAGACAGACGGGTCCATTGCCCCTGGTAACCTCAGTAGTAGTACTAACAACACTGGCTTCCATCTAGTAGGACATAGAAACGAGAACGTCGACCGAGAGTCAGCAGAGGAGACAACAGAGGAGGCTCCTCCACACTCCATCGATGCCAATGAACGGATGGATACAGATGAGTCGAGTACTACGATCCCCGTTATTACCACTAGTAGTAATGCTACCAATACGTTCTTGCAGCCGTTGATACTGGCCGAGGCGGATCGACGTGAGCTGTCTGCCGACAATGGATCCGGGATCCCAACGACCCCGGTGGGACCGGAACCTCCTCGAATCTACGTGGAAATGTCGCTCACCGACCGAGTTGACACGTTCAACTTGCTGCGGCACATTCGTCAGCAGATCCAACATGTCGAAGACGAGATCGCCAGTGCAAGCAACGCGACGCAGATCTCAACTATCAAGACGCAACGTCTGACTGAAGATCTACATTTCTATCTCGCTGAGCGACGATCGCTCATCCAGCAACTCGAAAACTCGAGATACATGTGAAAGCGTACTACGTCTAAAATGTGTAGCCATTTAGCTATAGTTCTTCTTACCACCTAAATGTGAGTTACAAAAGGTGATAAGTATCACTTGTGACTGAATAGTAATGATACATTGACGTTGCAAAGAGGTGAAAGCACAATAATGTTCAGTAGTGTTCACTACACGTCGAGAAGCGAAGCTGAAATTGACGATGCATACTCTCCTGAAAGTACCCAATGCGAACAATAAACCAAATAGCCCATTATTGCTAAACTTTTGCTTAGCTTATTGATCTGTGAAAAATGAAAAAAAAAAAACGATTAGCTCTTTACCATTTTTAAGCTTATTGCAATCCAGCTTCAGTCATCGTAACTTATTGCTTAAATAGCAGCAGATATAATCGAGATGTCACTTTGTTCTATAGGTATACTACTGAGCACGCCTGTGTGATGCTGGTAAAGAATGATATCGACGGAAATGTGATAGCGGAACAAACTCGCTAACGCTGTGATGGCAATGGAAGCCATCGGTCAGCATTGTTAATGAAAGTAACAATTATGACGATACATGCCAGAATCCCCCTGAAGACATCGCGGTGTCGGATGCTTCAATAAAACGTTAAATAGCGTTATTTTAGCATTTGTATCCCTTAAAGAACAAAATGTCAAAGGTTTTAGAGACCTGTCATTTTCAATACATTTTCCCGCTGTTAGCTCAAAAGTCTTCCGCCCTTGAAGCCTCAAAATGGCGGGAACGCTGAGTCGCTTCTTCGCGTCGGCGTCGGACTCTGGGGCGTTCGCGAGCATCCGCGGCGATGCGCTGCTGTTGCAGACCTCACAGACTTTATACGAGCAGATATTGCCGTCCGCGCCAGTCATCGGCTTGGACGAGAGCAATGCGCGTAGCAAGGAGAGCGAACCGGACAAGATTTGGGCCTTAGTGGCCGTTGTGGCCACGGGGATGACGCAGGAGATCAAACAAGAGCAAGTCGAAGAAGAGCAATGCTCTACAACTGTACAGAACAAACTGGAGTGGCATCTAGTGGATTTACTGGCCGAGGCTGGTGTGGGATTGCAGGAATTCCTGCTCTACTTGACGAGTCTCTTCAACCGTCTGCTCTTGGAACCGGAGCTTCTAACAGCCACTACTCTACTTAAAGAGGAGTTTACTATAGCCACCCTTCTGTTCGAGAAGTACCGTGTGCTCTGGGATACACTTGTACCCAAGCAGAGAACGCAGTCGCTATTTCCTAACGATCCCGAGCCAGAGAGCGATACTGAGCTAAATACCGAGCTGCACACACGTACACGACACCGGAAACTCTTTGAAGGAGGCTGGTTGCTGTTCCTATTAGCCAAAAGAAGACTAGACGCGCACTATTCGGGTCTAGGACAACTGTACAACTTGCTATTAGCCACGCTACATTTGGTTCTTGCTAGTGCGCAAGCGTCTCAAGCCTCAGTGGAAGCTGAAGTAGCAGCAGCGTTAAGTGCCATGGGCGCACTGGGAGAAGGCAAGGCGTCGCCCGTCAAGTCGGGTGCAGGAGTAAAGACGAGTGCTCAGCTTCTGGAAGCTCTCTGCGCCGCTCCAAAAGTGGATCCAGCCGATGTTTCACGCGCATCGGAACATCTGGGTTTAGTGTTACAACAACTGCGAGATGAGCAAGTGTTACAGAAACCAGAAGACGAGCATACAGTGCTCAGTGTGACGCTGTTTAGTGACGAAGTGCTGGAAGCGAATGTTACGAGATTGGCGGACAAATACAAGACAGACTACTTGGATGGATGTGGCAAATTAGACGAAACATTCTTTCTAAATGCTCGTGTTCGACGTACTATCATGGGAGCAAATGTTACACAAGCGGATAGTGGAGACAACTCGGTTGATTTGACGGGTGCAAGTCGCAGTACTGCACACGCGATGCTGTCTCCTGTACGGCGCAATATGCTGGCTCGACGACGCGATAGTAATCCTACTACACCAGCTACAAGAGGAATGATGACCCCACCTCGTCATCGCCAGCAGTTCTTCCCACCTAACTCGCCCTTGACGCATTCCTGGCACTGGCAAGGCTCGCCTCGTTATGGAGCAAGTCCAAGACCCTCCCCGGGGTCGATGCGTACGCCGGTAACTGCAGCAGTGGAGACGAATAACTGGGTACGGGAGACGTTGTCTAGCACTATGTTGACGCCTGTTACTCCGCAACTTCGAAGGTTTTTCTCGGATTGTACAGTGGATCCAACGCAGCGAATCACACGAGTGTTACGTGAACATTCGGAGTTGCTATTAGCAGCACGGACTACCGGTAGAGTAACCGCGGGGAGAGTGCGTTTTACTGCTACATTGATGGTGGACGAGCAGGAGGATACAGACGAGAATGAGAGTGCACGGAACATATCGTTCTCATCTGGTGTGGACGATAGTTTGAAGCGTACGAAGAATCTGACGATTGTGCTGTTTTACCGAGTTCTTGAGCCATTGTTACAGTCTGAACGCGAGAGACTACGTACCAATGACTTCTCCAAGCTACTGAACAACGATGTCTTCCTGGCCGCCTTGTTTGCGTGCAGTGCTGAAGTGGTTCTCAAAGCACATTCTCTTATCACGATCTCGTATCCATTCTTATTGGAACATTTGCATGTGAATGCTTTCCACTTTGTTACGACAAGTGAAAGTTTCGTCAAATACGCACCGAAGCTGCCGTCAGCGCTGAAAAAACACATGGGCGATGTGAAGAACCGTATTCTGGACTCAGCCGTGTGGAAATCCGACTCAGCGCTGTACCAGCTCCTCAGTTCGACAACTTCTGCTCCCAATACGCCAAGTTTGACGGATCGGTTGAGCCGAGACGGATCTGCTACGTCTAGTCCAGCGGGTCATGCACCCGTGCTTCGTCTGTTCTACCGGAAGGTGTTATCTCGCGCAGCCTCCAGGATTTATCAGCTCTGCAACTTATTGGGACTGGATTCGACCGATCAGAACCAGATCTGGACTGCTGTGAAGGAATGTATCACGTCACACCAGTACTTATTGAAAGACCGTCATCTGGACTTGATAGTGCTGTGCAATATTTATGCAGTGTGCAAGGTTTCACGTGGGCCGAATATTTCTCAAGCAGCCGCAACAATGTCTTTTAAGCGGTTACTGACATGTTACAAACAACTGAATCGACAGACGCCTGGCAACGGTGAAGGGGTGATTGATGGTATTCTTCTGGAAGACGAAAAGTCTCGTGGAAACATTATCAAGTTCTACAATCGTTGTTACATTACACCGATGAAGGTGTTTATCCTTCAATTCCAGTGTCACGAGTCTCAAATGGCTGCAGCTGATGCTGTTGTGGCTCAAGCTTCTGGAGTGTCTCAGACACTCGTGCCAGGCTTCACTCCTAGGAGAGAAAGTAGCAACGGAAATTTGGGGTTGACTGCCTCTACTTCCGATGCTGAAAGTATCGCCCGAGCAGCGTCTGAAGCTGTTCAAAAGCTCTTCCGAACACCAAACAACTTCAGCTCAAATGACAGAAACAGTGCACTTCCAAGCACACCACCACGTCCTAGTCGTCGCGGAATTCGATCGCCTTTTGTGTCGTCTCCGGCGGTAGCAGCACTGCAAATGTTTACCTCAGCTGAGGTGCTAGCACTACCGGTATCGATGAACCAGACGTCACCCAAACGCGTCAAGTCTTCGAATGTGTTCATGTCTCCACTACAACAAGTTCGTTTGGATCGACGTTCCGAATTGACGCCGCGCTCGCATGCTTTGTACGCAATTGGCGAGAGCCCCGCACGGGTAAGCTACGCATTTGTTTACTTTTGTATTTCTTATTTGTAACATTTTTTTAAATGCAGGATCTGGCGTTAATTAACCGCGCGGTGAACACGGCACCTGCAAACTTAAGGCGAGCTCGTGCACCGAATCTTGTCATGGATAGCGACACTGAACAAGACGTCACTGATGCCACTCCAATCCGCAAGAAACAGAAAACGGCATCATAGGCAAAAAAATGCTCCCATAATTCTAGTTGCACTTTTGTAAGTTACGCGTAATAAATGTTTTTTTCAATGCAAAATTTGTGGAAACAAAAATTATTTTTGTTGTCTAATGTGCTGCGGCTCTGACCCTTTTTTGCCGACTTGTGAGATACACTTGTCAAGCTGCTTCGCTTTTTGTTCACTCAAATTTTGTTCCAATTCACTAGAAGCCGTGGTGGTAACATTTCTCCAAGGAATACACCACGGTCCACTTAAATGTTGGTGACTTCGACTTCGGGTTCGTCGCTTTCGCTGCTGTCTTGACCATGGAGAATAGGGTGCGTGATCTCGTCTTCGCTGCCCATTTCATCGGCCTCAGGGTCGGCGTCGCTGGCGTTCAGACGGCCACGCATTGCTGCGCCTTCCTGCAACTGTCGCACGAGCCATCCTTCGTCCGCCATGGACAAGTCATCGAACGTATCACGAGTCGTGTCGTACGCAAAGCTAAACTCATCAAAGTGGGACTCGTCGTTGGCGTTCGCGACAGTAGAAGCCTTCCGTCCATTGACAGCCTTGGGGTTCTCGCCAATTGTTTCGTCCACATTCATGTTACGAAAATGCTCGTGCACATTCTGCATCAACTCTTTCGTCGGTGGAATAAACGGCGGCTCGACTTCCTTCATCTCCAATTTCTCCCAATTGATCGAAGCAAAGAACGGGTGCGCACGAACAGCATCAATATCAATACGTTCCGCAGGGTCACGAACCAGCAGTTTCTTCATCAGATCAATGGCATCGTCATCGATCGGCGGGTACTTCTCGTACTTGACATCAGCAGTCTGAATCTTCTTGTACATCTGGGAGATATTAGCGTCGAAGAACGGAGTGCTACCAGTCAACATCTCGTACAACAAGATGCCGTAGCTCCACCAATCCGCTTCCATTCCATACTGGGGTTTCTGCGTAAGTAGTTGCTCAGGAGCAATGTACGCAGGGGAGCCAGCAAGTGTTCCAGCTTGAGAATAGTTGTGGCTTCCCGGTTCTCCTTCCAGACGTAGTTGCTTGGAAATACCAAAGTCCACAAGACGAATGTTACCCGTCTTGTCCAGCATAATGTTGTCTGGTTTCAGATCACGGTAGATAATACCATGCGCGTGCAGGTACGAGAGCGCGATCGCCAGTTCCGCGGCGTAGAAGCGAGCACGTTCCACGGAGAAGCGTCGTCCACTGCTGGTCGACACATTCGGGTCCATTTTCGAGGAATGCATATGCAAATACAAGTTTCCTCCTTTGTAGTAATCCATGCCGAGATACAACTTGGTTTGTGTCTGAAAGGCAAAGCGCAAGCACGTGAGGAACGGATGACGCACGCCCGACAGGATACGTCGCTCCTTTAGAGCACTCTCGGCTCCAGACTGCTTGTCAATGATCTTGATAGCAAAGTATTCGTCCGGAATCAAGTGACGCTGTACCAGCACCACCGTGCCGAAGCCACCTTGACCCAGCACACCCACCACGTCAAAGTCCGAGAACGACAAGGCCAACGAACGTTTGGTAAGACAGTACTGGTGGAAACACGCCGGGTGCTCTGCGACAGTCATGGGGTTGGTCGTCACACGACGAGTCCTGGAAGTCGACGAGCTGCGTTGACGGAACGACAACACGATGCGAGAAATACGTCGAGCAGGAGTGAATGTAATCTGCAACCCGAACTTGCCTTCCGTGGTGGACCCAGAGACCGTATTGATAAGACGATGTCCCGAGTATGCGAACGCGTGATGGTCATCATCGTCTGCCTTGTGTGCGACCTCCTCGTTCACATCCGTGGCCAGTAAATACTTGCTCACATACAGCGCTGCGAAGTGCACGAAGCCTTCACGTCCATGGTAGATACCCTTGAATACACACGACGGTTGAGTAGTCTCGCGTGTCTCCATGTCGAACAACAGCTCGACGTCCTTGCTCAGTTGGCGGAGGAATGAGGGCAACCGCTCGATGACGTTCTCAGGTGACGTCCCGCTTAGAAGGTGCACGAGATCAGCGAGGAATTTCTCTGCAAGATGCGTCGTAATCGACGATTCGAGCGACACTACCTCGTCTGCAGAGCGTGGCGTAGGCGTTGGCGGCACGTCACCACGTGGTCGTCCATGTTGCAGCCGGGAAGCCTCTCGAGCGGTGGTGTTGTGCAAGCTAAGCTGCATCATTTGCATCCACATGGCCTTCTCCACCGCCGAGGTGGCCACAAAGTGGATCAAGTTGCCATTGCTAGCCAAGAAGCTGAAGCCCAGCTCTTCCGGCTTGAGTTTGGAGCCGCCGAAGCCCGCGGAAGGAAGAGAGCTTAGAATCTGCTTGATAACCCAACGACCACGATGTCGCTCCTTCGCCAGCGCATGGTTCTTGGACTTGTAGACCGAGACAGTCCGATTCTGCAGCGTGATGTAGCGTGGCGTCCAGCTCTTGACGATCTTGCGCTGCTTGTACAAGTAGCCCTCCCATTCTACTTCCTCGGCCGTGATCGTCTTTAGGTCGATGAGGTTGGGCGTCGACATGGTGTTGTTGCTTTTAGGTCTGCTATTTTTGCTGCTGCCTAACGAGGCCGAGCCGAAGTTGGCCGTCAGATTAGAGCCGCTGCTGCTGCTCGTGTTTCGCGAAAGCGACGGCCGCCGGCTGCGCGGCGTGCTGGCCGCCGTGCTGCCGTTGGTGGACGGCCCGCTGATGCTGGCCTTGCGACGGCTCGCGCGCGACGCGGACGTGAGGCTCGAGGCCGATGGGTTGCGCGACATCATGCGCGCCTCTAACATGTGCGCCATTGTTGAACGGGGGGAGTTTTATACTGTGAGGCCAAGGCGGAATTGCAAGAGTGATGGTCTCTCGTCCACTGACGAAGAGACAATCGGAGAAATGAATTGAAATGAAACAGGTGACAGACAGACCCCTCAAAAACTGACAAAAGTGTCGCGGCGTGCTGCGTCGCGCGTACGCTCCTGTTGTTCTCTCTTGTCGCTCGCTCTTTTTGCTTTCTGGCAGTACGCGCCCAACAAACAACACGCTCACAGCTGGGGGAGTGCCCGCAAAGCCAGCGCTTTGTCTATTCTCCAGTACATACCGGTTTGATGCAGTAGTGTCAGTTTCCACCAAAACCCTCTGTAAAAAACTAACGATGTTATCAGGGATAGGCGTTGATTGGTTGGGATAGAACCGGTTGTTTTAGAAAGTTATTTACGTGTGGACCACATAGGACAGAGTCCGTGCTTACGAGTGTTCTGTGGTGCAATCAGCGAGGAGCACGTCCGGTGGCGAAAGCCACCTCCTCTTTTAAGCTTGTCACCCGTCGAATTCCATCAGCTCAAGACTTGAGTCAAGTCGATGATGGCATGCGGCTGGCCATACAATACACACAATACATGTATCAATGCTTGAATGGAGCCATGGACATGCGCGGCATGGTGGCCACGGTGTGGCCGACTTGAATGTATCAAATTAAAACGTTGTACTGTATCCGAAGTGCGTGGCAGTGGCAAGTGGTATTGATTTGCATCGCGCAGCAGACCTGACCTCGGTTAAGTCACCTTCAAGTTCACATTTACCCCAAAGTTTGGGCTGAACAGCTTGGCTTCCTCAACGACTCGCTGCTGTTCGTCAATGGCGAGCAGCAGCACCATCGAGTCGACTCGGTGTTGCCGAAGTCCGAAGGGAAGGAATCAGATACTCAGCGATGGCCGTGTGTCCTCCTGGGTCCTAAGTTCGCCGCCATGTTTCGATAAAACCAGCATCGTCACTGACGTCAGCACGAGTCTCAAGCAAATCAAGCGGGGCAAACACAAATCGGCTGTTGGTTGCCAGGAAATGTGAAGGCAGATGGCTTTTTACAGTGATGTACACACTGAAGCATGTAAGGGTTCTGCTTGACTTTCCTGATGACTTGCAAGTTGCATCGCAAGCTGCAGTGCAATGTGCATACACCGACGAGAGCCGGAGGCTTGCATCAACTCTGTGCGTTGGGACAATGGGCTCTGATATTTTGCGCGGGTGACGCAGTTGTGTCCGACTGAGCGAGATTCGTTTGCTAGTCCATTGCGGCGCTGTAGGTCCTTAACGACGGCAAAAAACTCGTCTCCTGTTCGCCCTCATAGTATTGTTTTCATAAGTACAGGCTCTGAGTTCTTTTTGCACGATGCTGTTGTCTACGAAGACCGACATGACAGTTTTAATCGTTTGTTGAAGCTGCTTTAATCGAGAAAGACGGAGCGGCCTTGTTGAAGCTGTTGGTCAGCAAGAGAACGGCAACTTGAACTTGCCACGTCATTTTGCAGCAGATCGATCTCAAGTCGTTCTGTCACTTGCAGTGTCTTCAACATCGCCCGCCAAAACTTCGTTCTTGCAGTTTTTGCGGCCCATTTGAGCGATCGGACGGGCAGAAGTCGATGTGAAGTCCAAAGTCAACCTTTGGGCCGGTAGCAGACAGCACAGTAGCGAATTCTTGCATGTGTCGTGCTGCTGTAGCTGAGGACCGATATGAGGTAGTCGAATGCTTTGTTTGGTAGTGTTGCGACCAACTTTTGCTAAGGTCGCAGTGCAAACTGAGTTCACTTTGTCAGGCTGCATTTCAGGGCGTTTGGCGTGCTTAAAAAACTCTACAGCTGGCGGCGTTGGATACGGGGACATCTCCCAGACTACCGACGGTATTAACCGGACCCAACTCGGCTTTAATCGACGTGCAGAGGGTTTCAACAGTCGATGCCTGTCTTCTCCCTTTTGGAGAGCTAAAAGTCTTCTCGATTCCAAAGTAACAGCTTGTGTTTTCTTGAGTGTCCGGTATTCATCCAAAAACGCTTCGTGGTTTTGATTAAAGATCGACATGCGCCGAGGCGTGGGAGGAGCTTTACCTGGACGCTCTGGCAATGCGTAGATACATGTTTGAGATCGATGAGTTACACGAGGGCTCTCGTGACTGTCTTGGTTCGATACAACGTTGTTTGAGCACGATGCAACGCGTAAGCACACAATGCGTGGGCTCTGACGAGTGAGTAAGGCTTTTCGGATCTTCTTCCGTACAAGAGTACCTCGGATGAATGACTGCACCTTGACCGCACTGGCGACTTGTTTGGACACCTGTACGGGCTTTACATGTACAACAGTTGCAGGGGTTATTGCTTGACGTTGCTGTTGGTGTCGACGAAAACCCTTCTGAATCATCGCACTCGTTGTCCTTCTCAGTAAATGCGTTGTCTGAGGAGTTGATACGTTACGGGGTGGCGTCTCTGGTTGCTGTGGTGGACGCGGGGACACAGGGGTACTTAACGAGTAGCTAACAGACGGCCTAGGTTGGGATGGAGGGCGTTTCTTTAACTCCTCGACTGAGTCATCTCGCTCTTTGGAATGAGTTGAGTCCTCCTTTGAATGGATAGTAGTGTCCTTTAGATGGCTGCTCGGACCCTTCTCGTTTCCTCTTGGCTTGGATTCTTCGGGGGTCCGAACCATGCGTTGCATAGTTATCATCGATTTCATCCGTTCGCGTTGCCTTTTAAACTTCTCCAGCTCCTCTGCAAACTTCTCAGCTCGTCGTTGACGTCTGCCTCTGAACATCGCTTGTAAGCGCATCACAACAACTAACACGCCTAACATGTCCTTGGTCGCCCCTGTTTGAGTTGGTAGTCTTGTAATGGTAGCACGACGCATGTAGTGGTCTGTAAACTCAGCTACATCTGTAGGCAGCACCATTTCAGCTCCGATACTGCCAGTGTGGGCTGTGGTTGTGCCATTGAGAGCGTTCATGAGATCCATGGCCTGTTTTGCCTTTTCCTCGCGAATTTTGGCATGACTACGGACGCTCGCAAGCTTCTTCGTGTTGGTGTCTATAGTTTGCTGTACGTACAAAGCAAAATATTTATCTAAGTGCTTCCTTAAAAGAATACCGTGAATGCTTTAGCGCACCGCAATGTGTATGGTGAAGTGCATTAGTTTCTGTTCATCCTTGGTCGAAAACCCTGTTTCCACCATTGCGTTGACACTCTTGAGCCTTTGCAGTCTGACTTCGGTGCTAAACTCGTCCTTGATATCTTGTGGGGTTGCCACTCGCTCTGTCGTATCTAAACGGTTCAAAAGCTGCTTATCCGCATTAGCTAAATACTTACCATAAGTACGTTGGATTCCAAACCTGAATTACTGCGGCAGCTCGACGGTGCATAATGACAGGGGCACAGAGGATCGAATCCACCTGCATGTCTTTCGGCACGTCATAGTCGCGGTGGAACGCGCGGTGCTACACATAACAATATATCATTATAGATACCTTCAGTGCTGTTGCAACCGCGCTTTGGGTCGTACCGGGTTGGCCTCTTCCATGCGGAGACATCGTCTCTGGAGGAAGCAAGAGCTTACCATCCCCATAACCGGCGGGAAGCTCGCCAGTGGTGACGCGGTCACGTTTTCTTTCCTAAACGCAGACGAACTACTCTTGCTTGCTTCACTTGGTTGCTCGCTCGATGAAATTTGTGGCTCGCTGCCATCCTCCGTTAGCTGGTCTTTTGGTTGAGCAGGGATGACTTTCTCATGGTAGTTCACGACAATCTGAGGTCTCAACAGGTTAGCAGGCTTGTCGTAGATGTATACAATGCAGCGCTGCGCTGGAATTGAACCCAGTACATCCGTAGCTACTTGTGAAAGTGCATCCCGCAGAGACAAGTCGGATTCCATGTCGGAGAGCAAGGATCACTTGTTTGTTCATGTAGCCATTTTTGGAAATGGGTACAGGAGAAAGGGTTTTATGCTAATCATCATAACGCCGCATGCGATGGAGGAGCTTCGTCATGTGCACGGTGGGTTCGCTACCATGACGGGCTGTTCGTTTTCTCCGTGGCTAACTGAAGATCATTAGTGGAGGTCTGCGTGAAGCAGGAGAGCGTTGCTGACTACGAGCAAGTGGGTGCAGCTGTGGCTGAATATCTTGGCGCCACCTGCTCTCTCTTCGCCAAGGGTTAATGAGTTTTTTTTGCGCCTTGACATTTGTTATGAAGTTTTAATGATCGTAATATGACACAGGATCCTTGAAATTACCTGAGGAGCTGCCGCTCGCAGCACATGTGGATCGGATTGATGTGACGGAGTTTGATGGCGAGGAGACCAGTGAGGCGGGTGTTCCGAGATCAGAAGCTCATTTGTTCGTACACGTGTTTAAGCTCAGTGATGTACGTGGCTGCACCCTGTTGCATAAAGACTTGAAAATCGCTAATGTGTTGTGCAGGAGCCTCCGGCAGAGGAAACGGCTGACGATGAGGACGTGGCGACTTGTCAGCAGACGATTCTGCCTGCGACGAGCTTTGACGGGCTTTGGGATTCGCTTATCTTCGACACTGGAGTGAAGCGAAATGTGCTGGACTATGCTATGACCGCAATGTTATTCTCAGATTCCAAAGTGAACCCGCATATCATATCATGGAACCGAGTCGTGTTGCTACATGGCCCACCGGGAACGGGAAAGACAAGTCTGTGCCAAGCACTGGCCCACAAGCTAAGCATTCGTCTCTCATCTAGGTTGGTGGCACATCAATTGACTTGGTTGGATATTTTTATTCACTGGGGAATGATGTAGATACCCGAATGCAGTGCTCTTGGAGATCAACGCCCACAGTCTGTTCAGCAAGGTACGAAGCATTCTTTTGCTAGTATTTTTTTCTTTTTATCATAATTCTAACGGCTTCTATCATTTGTAGTGGTTTTCAGAGAGTGGGAAGCTCGTGATGAAGCTCTTCCGTCAGATTCAGGAGCTGGTGGAGGATGAGGAGTCGTTGATCTGTGTTTTAATCGGTGAGATTGCATAGTACTATGCAAACAGAAGTGGCTTTGTATGTAACGTTAGTTGTACATGTAGATGAGGTGGAGTCACTTACGGCAGCTCGAAAGTCTGCTTTAAGCGGAGCGGAGCCGTCTGACGCGATTCGCGTGGTCAACGCATTGCTAACGCAGCTGGATTCGTTGAAGCGACACTCAAACGTGTTGATCCTCACTACGTCAAACATCACCGAAGCCATCGATGTGGCGTTTATCGACAGAGCTGACATCAAGCAGTACGTTGAGCCACTTTGAGAACTAAATGATCCTGACGAGTTAACTTATTTCATATTGTGTCAGATATATTGGACTTCCGTCGTGTCACGCACGTTATGAGATTTTACGGAGCTGCATTGAAGAGCTTCGACGTGTGAGAATACTACAGCCTAGTACGCAGCCTCTGTTTGCTTACCAAGAGCTAATGCGAAGAAAGGCTTCGAAAAAACGCATGGTGGACCAAATAACGAGTCCTCCAGGTAATGAAGAGCTGGAGTTGTCAATGGAATTGCGACAAGCTGCAAAAATGGCCGAAGGATTCAGTGGCCGCGCACTGCGCAAGCTACCGTTCCAGACACACGCCTTCTTTGTTCAGGTACGCAAACTTGAAATTTGATTTTATATTTGCTAAGAATAACTTTCTCATGTTTCAGACGCGAACTGCAACTGCTTCCGAGTTTATCGACCACCTGATGCAGACCATCCAACGTGAAAATGAGCAGAAACTCCAATTAACCACAGGATAGATGACTGAGACCGACATCCTTCCAGATGACGTAAATATTCTGGTTAAAATTCAGAAACTGCAATACCGGCGTCGAACTAAATCTTCCTCTGCTGCGTTTTCTCCTCGTTTGCCTATTTTAAACTGATGTTGAGTGCCTTCTCTTGCCATCATTCGCATTTCATTGGCTTTTAGTACCTCGGACGCGATCCACGACGTTGGTAATTGCCTTCGAGCTGCATCCGTCCAGCATCAGCCAACCGACTGCCACTCGTAGACGAGCTCATTAACTTGCCATCTCGGTACTCCTCTGTGATCGTCTCTGTGCGTCCATCTGCATCTGTAGTTGTCGTCGTCTTCTGCGTGATCACATGACCATTACGGTCGGTAAAAGTCGACGACGAAGAGCTCGAGCTTGTGGAATAAAATTCACCTGATCCACCAATGTCGCCAAATCCATTACTAAAGAACGGGTCCATAATAGACGTACCCATATTGCCGAATTCTCTGCCCATTCCCATCACTCCAAAGCCCGTAGACCCAAAGAAATCGTCATCAAACATTCCACGTCGTTGGGATGATCCTCGACGTCGCCCAAAGAATGCTTCAAATGGGTCCTCGCCGCCAAAGAAAGCATCGAAAATGTCTCGTGCATGTTGCGTTGAGAAGCCTCTATGGCTATGGAACCCAAAGTGTTCATCATGAGCTGGAACTGACCCATCCAGCCCTGGTTTGCCGTATTTCTCATAAACTTTCCTCTTCTCTGAGTTACTCAACACCTCATACGCCTCGCTGATCTTCTTGAAAACCTCCTCGGCGCGTGGATTCGAGCGGTTCTTGTCCGGATGCCACTGCACGGCCAGCTTCCTGTACGCACGCTTAACGTCGGACGCGGAGGCGGAGCGCGGCAGGTTCAACACCGCGAAATAGTCGTCTGATTCCAAATGAAGATCCATCTGGTTACTCTCTTCTGATTCGTCCTCGCCAGTGAGGTCAATGACAGGCTTCTGCTGCTTGGCAGCCACTTTCTTCGGTCTCGTAGTGGGACGTTGGCGCTTAGCAGCTTTGAGGCTTGACGGGTGGCAAGACATTTTCAAGAATGATGATCGGATTGGCCAACGAAGCGGCGTTCTAGAATTCCTTACAAACATCAAGTATATTAACCGGTTACATAACGACATGACCGGTCCCATGTTGAAGTGGAAACGTACATAATATGCACGTCAATTTCATTTGATATCCAAAAATGAGGGCGCTAGTGGCGGTGCATGCGGTGTGTAGTCTTCTTGTGTATGGGGACGAAGTGTTCGAGTTCTATGGAGACTCGCACTTTGAGTTCGGAAGACAAATGGGACTGCAATTCCGGGACAGAATTCAGGACCGGATGCGGCTTAATACGAAGCTCCAAACTTCTACCATTCGCGAAGACGATACTAGGACGTAAAGTGCTGGATCGATACCTACTGACACACAGAGCGACGTTCCCCGTTAGTGACTTAGCTTGCTATTGCTTCCCTGGTTAAAGCGTTGCTAATTGAAGCGTTGTTTTGATGCTACAGCAATACGTCGAGGAACTGGAAGGTATAGCAGAAGGCAGTGACGTGCCGTTCGAGACTATTTTCATTGAGAATATTGTAGAGGAATTCTCCAACTCATTCCCCCCGAGTTTCCAGAATGGAAATTTTCCTACTGAATTGCGTCATCTTATTTTGAGATGCTCGGATATTGTCTTGACAAGCTCGGAGATGCATGTGGTGGCTCATAATGAGGACTGTGGCGCGGTGGATGTTAACCGCACGGCAATCGTTATTGCAAAAATTGGAGATGAAGCCAAATTTGTTGCGTATACGTATCTGGGAGATCTCCCATCGGGGGCATTCGGATTCAACGAGAACGGCGTTGCATTCACACTCAATTGTACGTAACCATTTTTTTTTTACTTTTTTGAGAAAGGATAAATGAAAACTCATTGGTGGTTCGGTGAGAAGTTGTGCAGCCGTCCGAGATTTTTATTGGTGGTCTTGGACGAGGATTTATATCACAAGATCTCCTGACAGCTGAAAATGCCGATGACGCGATTGCAATCATCACTCGAGAGGGTCAAGCTGCTGGTCATAACTTCCAGTTAATGGACGTTCGAGCCAAGCGTGTGTGGAATATCGAGGTGGCGTCATTCAACCGGCATTTTATCTACGAGTTCAAGGACAATGCGAGTGCTGTGTCTGCGGTCTTTCACGCTAATCAATACCAACGGCTTCGGATTGCGCAGCCTCCGTATCAAAGTAGTCTCCATCGACTACGTCGCTACAGTGAGTTGACGCCACCTACGAATGTGGATGAGGCGTTGACAGTGCTCGGCGACCAGGAAGATCGATCATGGCCGGTGTTTCATGATTCTCTGTCCCATAGTCGAGGCGATCTGTCGGGTTGGACGCTCACGACCATAGTCTTCGATCTAAGCAAAGGGAAAGCTGTGTCATTTTTGGAAAACCCCGTACATCGTCCTCAACACCTAGTATGGGACCTTTTCAAGTTGACTGTGCTGCCAGCAGAGGCCAATAAAACACTATGAAACGTGTGTATGTACATATTGAAGCCATCGCTTTAGGAAACAAAAGATGTCGTGGTTCGGGTGCGCACGCCATCTTTCCGTGGCAAGTAGATCAGATTATGGTCGCGAGCACAAAACATGACCATTAAATGCTGTTGTACATGAATTCCAGCAACTTGTCATTTGCCCTTTTGACACAACTTGATTACACAGCTCCACGTGCCGCATCATGCGCCTCCGCTACTTTCTACTGTCAAGTGTCGTCCTAGCTACGACAGTTCATTGTCCCGCTGATGATCGGAGCAAGACTCCGACGTCAATCGTTCGAGTTGAATTCACCACCGTCGACGGCAAGAACGCAACTAAAAAAGTGGCGATAGTGCTGCCAGCCGAAGATCTCGACGATATTCCACAAGATGATGGGCTTGCTGCCACGGACGAGAGAGCGTTCGTGAGTCCATGGATAAAAGATGCGGTAAAGGCCTTCATCGAGAAACCTCTGCATTTTCTGCTAGCTTTGATTAAGATTCGTCTGGAGGTGCATGTCATTTAGAAGCTCTTGTAAAAAAATAGGTTATAAGGGAATGAAGTATTCCCTGGAACGAATAATACCCAAAAGAGTTAACCTATTACATGTATATTCGTGAGCACCTTATCCATTGTGCTCAAATAGTGGTAATCTTGACGCCTTCATCCCTGGCTAGAACAACCGCTCCGTCTGCACTGAGTTGCTGATACTGACGCCAATTGTAGTGAAGAATGCAACGCTTCTCGGCTCGCTCAATAGCTCCAGTAACCCAATCAGCCTCTTCCTGCTTCGTAAACTGCAACAGCGACGTTCCCAGAGCCCGAGACGGAGGACGTTGCTGACCAAGGTACACGCGAGCGAGCAGAGACGCCGCCGGATGGGCCTGCTGACCAACTTCACGGAACCACTTGAGGATATCCACGTGATGATACAGCTTCAGTAAGTTGTACTGGCCCTTGTCGAACAGGTCTGCTCCCTCACTTGCAAGAGTGTCCCATGCCACATACACTTGCTGCCATTCGCGCCAAGCTCGAGCCTCGTCCTCAGCCACAGCATCACTTGAGCGTCTGCCACTACTCGTAGTCGACGCAGCAGCAGGCGGCTGGTTCTTCGGTCCATCCACCATCAAGAGAGAACTCATCTCATCGTCCTCATCCTCTTCCTCCACCTCTTCTTCAGTACTGGAACTCGCATCACTCGGTCGAGCAGCAAGCAGCTGGAAAACAGCTCGATGCTCCTGCCGCAAAGCTTCTTGAGCGCGACGGAGCACACGAGTGTCCGAGACGAGATCGCCAGCCTTGGAGCTGATACGGGGGTCCAGCAACATGGCTTTGATCTCATCGTCCACTTCACACACGGATGTAGGACTCGCCAAGTGCTGCGTGATCAGCTCTCGAAGCTGTTCCATGCATTGACGACCTGTTGACGTAAACATGTCCACCCGTTTGGCCTTGCGTCGTGCTGTCCATTTCTCGGAGGAAGAGCCAACAGCAGCGTCGTCCTCTAGAGAAAGACACTTGAGACTGGAGACACTGACTGTAACCGAGAGCAGACGTCGGAACAGAAGCGCATAGGAAGGCGCCACTGCTCCTGGTCGTAAGGCCACGCGCTCTTCGAGACGGAACTGCGTCAGGTGGTTCAAAATGGCTTCAATCTCCGTCACAGTCTGCCAGTCGTCCATGGACAGTTGCGTCCACGCCGTCTCCAACTCGGGCTCCGCTACTGTTGGTCTCATAGACGACTGGAAGTACAAGCAGTAGGCTCGGTATCGACAGCAGCTGACTCGCAACAGCTCGGCCATTGCACCAATCGACGTCAAGGACGAGAGTGCGAGGGCGTCGATGGATGAAGCCGAAGAGAACGTCACCTGCACAGCGTTCCTAGCCCCGATTTCCGTCAGCATATTCGCTCGGTCAGGCGCCTCAAAGTACGTCAGAAGCTCTTGTAGTAATCGGACAAGGCGACGAACACTCGTCTCTCCACCGAAAGAGCTCGTAGGTCCGACACCCAGTGCATCGACCACGCAGTGACGCAACGTGCGTGTCAATACATCCTCGTGCTCGTCCGTGGAAGCTTCGTACCCTTCACTAACCGCAAGACTCGACGGCGAGGCCTCCACGACATCCACGTGGAACCGCGCATACTTCGAGATGGAGGGGATGCCGTACGTGTCCGACACAGTCTGGGTCACAAGTTGGTTCACTTGTTGACTCCAACTTCTCGGCACTTGCTTCGCTGCCAACACCAAGTCCACTCGACGCCACTGCGAGTCAATGAACCCAACTGCCACACTAAGGAACGCCTTCTCCTGGTTCGACACAACGTCGTCTCTCGCTCCATCTTCGGCAGTAGCTCCATCGATAGGTCGGAACTCGTGTCGAAGCGATAGAAACGGCAGCCCCAAAGCAGCTTGAGACTCCGAAGCTAGATACAAGTCCAGAAAACCGCTAAACTTTATAAACTCTTCCTGCACTTGAGCATTAAAAGTCGACGCCGTCGTCAACGCTGAGATAGCTGAGTTCGAGAGCTTCAATAGTTGCTGCAAGGAGGCATCTTGTAGCACGGACACGGGCAAACCCGACGAGATGAGCCACGTCCTGACGTGGTCCGTCGTCTTGCCGGGTGTTCGCTTCCGTGGCGATACTCCCGTTGTCTGCGTTTTAACCACAGAAGTGACTGGCACTTCATCTGCCGATGCACCTTCCCGGTTCTCGTCAGGAGTAGTGGCGGATTTCTTCTTGGGGCCAGGCGTTCGCTTGGCTCTCTTCTTCTTTGGTTCGTTCGGGCCATTGGCAGCTTTCTCTACCAACGCTTCTCGTTTGCGTTGCTTATAGTCGGCAATGGTGACGAACTCGTCCGGATGAACGCGTTGCATGTGCGCCACGGCATTCGTGGACATCCGTTGACGCATCAGAGCGTCGCGCCACGTGACTGTTCGCTTCGACGTGGCCCGCATTGGTGGAGAGGCCGAACATAAGACGCAGATGTGAGTGTACGGGTGATCGCCACTCTTTGGGTTCGAGAGGGGCGTCGTCAACTTATGAATGAACTGCCAAACGGGAAGGTCGGTCTGCGGGCTGTGCGCGACAGATAATGGGATGCCGTGTCGGTCGGTGGGTTCACCGGCGAGAGGGTCGGGAGTCTGGGAGACTTCGCTCTTTGCGTACAAGACGTCGGACGCGTGATGTCCCTGCATGATTAGCGGATGAATCGGTAGTACTGCGCGGGTTGTCGTGAGGGAATTGCTACTGGTGGGGAGAATTTTGCAAGATTTTGCTTGTTTTTTTTGTGAAAGACTGAATAGTAAAACCAAGAGTCGCTCTTACTAATATTAGCAAGACCAAGACAAGCAAATGCAAGTAAAATTTGGCACGAGGCTCCCAATTTTACAATGAAAAGCCTTAGCCCTATATTAGAATGCGTGCTTCTACATCGCTAATAATTAGAAACTAATAAATATTTTAATAAAATATTCTGAACCAAAATGTGCAAAATATTATTTTTAAGTCCTCTTTTTGTTTCTAACATTTATAATTGAATACGCGGTGTTACTACTAATACTGCATGCTGATACAGTACTTAAAATTCGTACACGAACATGAATTTTTTAGTAGTACAATACGCATTCCATGGCATCATTTTGAAGGACTTTGGTACCATTTTGCAGAGGTATATTTCAGCCTGAGATTAAAATTTTCAGGAGTAGACTGCCAGCATCAAGTCGTTGTGATCGAATGCAGCAATGAGTAATACAGCTTCGCAACGCGACTGCTTTACCTGTGAGGGTTGCTCTGTACTACGACACCCGTTCTCGGCAAAGTACTACTAGAATTGAAAACTTAAATACCATGTATTTCATGCCCGATGATCAATTGTCTTCAGTAGACAAGACTTATTCCAGCCCAGACACAGCTGGAAGCCATCTCCTTCAACGCACAACCATTGCTACAGTAAGAAAAACGTCGAATGTATCGTCCTATATTTTACTATCTACTGTATACTCAGTTGAAAGACAATAGGTTTGGCACCGACATCCATGCGATTCAGCTATTTACTGTTTGCTGCGAGCAGTATCCCAGCTGCCACATTGCATGGTATCGCTGATGGGCAGGTCTCAGTTTCAAGCGGCATCCAAGCATCGATCGGTGATAGCCTCGCTGATGGGGAAAGAAAGACTGCAACACCAACTGTCGACGGCTACAATGCAACAACAAAAAATTGGTATCAATAAAGATCTCGACAGAATTCAACATGGTGCTTGTAGGTCTGCAATATCCCTCCCTGCGGAGGTTTTAATTTAAAATAAAATTCCATTTTCTGCTTGAACGAGCTTTTAAGAGAATGAAGCATTCCCTGGTACAAGAAATACCCAAGAGAGTTAACCTATTATGTATGAAGACCTTCTTCACTACCCTCAAATAGTAGTAATCTTGATGCCTTCATCCCTGGCTACAACAACCACTCCGTCTGCACTAAGGCCCTGATACTGAAACCAATTATGGCGAAGAATGCAACGCTTCTCGGCTCGCTCAGCAGCTCCAGTAACCCAATCAGCCTCTTTCTGCTTCGTAAACTGCAACAGCGACGTTCCCAGAGCCCGAGACGGAGGACGTTGCTGACCAAGGTACACGCGAGCGAGCAGAGACGCCGCTGGATGGGCCTGCTGACCAACTTCACGGAACCACTTGAGGATATCCACGTGGTGATACAGCTTCAGTAAGTTGTACTGGCCCTTGTCGAACAGGTCTGCTCCCTCACTTGCAAGGGTGTCCCATGCGACATACACTTGCTGCCATTCGCGCCAAGCTCGAGCCTCGTCCTCAGCCACAGCATCACTTGAGCGTCTGCCACTACTCGTAGTCGACGCAGCAGCAGGCGGCTGGTTCTTCGGTCCATCCACCATCAAGAGAGAACTCATCTCATCGTCCTCATCCTCTTCCTCCACCTCTTCTTCAGTACTGGAACTCGCATCACTCGGTCGAGCAGCAAGCAGCTGGAAAACAGCTCGATGCTCCTGCCGCAAAGCTTCTTGAGCGCGACGGAACACACGAGTGTCCGAGACGAGATCGCCAGCCTTGGAGCTCATACGGGGGTCCAGCAACATGGCTTTGATCTCATCGTCCACTTCACACACGGATGTAGGACTCGCCAAATGCTGCGTGATCAGCTCTCGAAGCTGTTCCATGCATTGACGACCTGTTGACGTGAACATGTCCACCCGTTTGGCCTTGCGTCGTGTTGTCCGTTTCTCGGAGGAAGAGCCAACAGCAGCGTCGTCCTCTAGAGAAAGACACTTGAGACTGGAGACACTGACTGTAACCGAGAGCAGACGTCGGAACAGAAGCGCATAGGAAGGCGCCACTGCTCCTGGTCGTAAGGCCACGCGCTCTTCGAGACGGAACTGCGTCAGGTGGTTCAAAATGGCTTCAATCTCCGTCACAGTCTGCCAGTCGTCCATGGACAGTTGCGTCCACGCCGTCTCCAACTCGGGCTCCGCTACTGTTGGTCTCATAGACGACTGGAAGTACAAGCAGTAGGCTCGGTATCGACAGCAGCTGACTCGCAACAGCTCGGCCATTGCACCTATCGACGTCAAGGACGAGAGTGCGAGGGCGTCGATGGATGAAGCCGAAGAGAACGTCACCTGCACAGCGTTCCTGGTTCCAATTTCCGTCAGCATATTCGCTCGGTCAGGCGCCTCAAAGTACTTCAGAAGCTCTTGTAGTATTCGGACAAGGCGACGAACACTCGTCTCTCCACCGAAAGAGCTCGTGGCTCCGACACCCAGTGCATCGATCACGCAGTGACGCAACGTGCGTGTCAATACATCCTCGTGCTCGTCCGTGGAAGCTTCGTACCCTTCACTAACCGCAAGACTCGACGGCGAGGCCTCCACGACATCCACGTGGAACCGCGCATACTTCGAGATGGAGGGGATGCCGTACGTCTCCGACACAGTCTGGGTCACAAGTTGGTTCACTTGTTGACTCCAACTTCTCGGCACCTGCTTCGCTGCCAACACCAAGTCCACTCGACGCCACTGCGAGTCAATGAACCCAACTGCCACACTAAGGAACGCCTTCTCCTGGTTCGACACAACGTCGTCTCTCGCTCCATCTTCGGCAGTAGCTCCATCGATAGGTCGGAACTCGTGTCGAAGCGATAGAAACGGCAGCCCCAAAGCAGCTTGAGACTCCGAAGCTAGATACAAGTCCAGAAAACCGCTAAACTTTATAAACTCTTCCTGCACTTGAGCATTAAAAGTCGACGCCGTCGTCAACGCTGAGATAGCTGAGTTCGAGAGCTTCAATAGTTGCTGCAAGGAGGCATCTTGTAGCACGGACACGGGCAAGCCCGACGAGATGAGCCACGTCCGGACGAGGTCCGTCGTCTTGCCGGGTGTTCGCTTCCGTGGCGATACTCCCGTTGTCTGCGTTTTAACCACAGAAGTGACTGGCACTTCATCTGCCGATGCACCTTCCCGGTTCTCGTCAGGAGTAGTGGCGGATTTCTTCTTGGGGCCAGGCGTTCGCTTGGCTCTCTTCTTCTTTGGTTCGTTCGTGCCATTGGCAGCTTTCTCTACCAACGCTTCTCGTTTGCGTTGCTTATAGTCGGCAATGGTGACGAACTCGTCCGGATGAACGCGTTGCATGTGCGCCACGGCATTCGTGGACATCCGTTGACGCATCAGAGCGTCGCGCCACGTGACTGTTCGCTTCGACGTGGCCCGCATTGGTGGAGAGGCCGAACATAAGACGCAGATGTGAGTGTACGGGTGATCGCCACTCTTTGGGTTCGAGAGGGGCGTCGTCAACTTATGAATGAACTGCCAAACGGGAAGGTCGGTCTGCGGGCTGTGCGCGACAGATAATGGGATGCCGTGTCGGTCGGTGGGTTCACCGGCGAGAGGGTCGGGAGTCTGGGAGACTTCGCTCTTTGCGTACAAGACGTCGGACGCGTGATGTCCCTGCATGATTAGCGGATGAATCGGTAGTACTGCGCGGGTTGTCGTGAGGGAATTGCTACTGGTGGGGAGAATTTTTCAAGATTTTGCTTGTTTTTTTTGTGAAAGACTGAATAGTAAAACCAAGAGTCGCTCTTACTAATATTAGCAAGACCAAGACAAGCAAATGCAAGTAAAATTTGGCACGAGGCTCCCAATTTTACAATGAAAAGCCTTAGCCCTATATTAGAATGCGTGCTTCTACATCGCTAATAATTAGAAACTAATAAATATTTTAATAAAATATTCTGAACCAAAATGTGCAAAATATTATTTTTAAGTCCTCTTTTTGTTTCTAACATTTATAATTGAATACGCGGTGTTACTACTAATACTGCATGCTGATACAGTACTTAAAATTCGTACACGAACATGAATTTTTTAGTAGTACAATACGCATTCCATGGCATCATTTTGAAGGACTTTGGTACCATTTTGCAGAGGTATATTTCAGCCTGAGATTAAAATTTTCAGGAGTAGACTGCCAGCATCAAGTCGTTGTGATCGAATGCAGCAATGAGTAATACAGCTTCGCAACGCGACTGCTTTACCTGTGAGGGTTGCTCTGTACTACGACACCCGTTCTCGGCAAAGTACTACTAGAATTGAAAACTTAAATACCATGTATTTCATGCCCGATGATCAATTGTCTTCAGTAGACAAGACTTATTCCAGCCCAGACACAGCTGGAAGCCATCTCCTTCAACGCACAACCATTGCTACAGTAAGAAAAACGTCGAATGTATCGTCCTATATTTTACTATCTACTGTATACTCAGTTGAAAGACAATAGGTTTGGCACCGACATCCATGCGATTCAGCTATTTACTGTTTGCTGCGAGCAGTATCCCAGCTGCCACATTGCATGGTATCGCTGATGGGCAGGTCTCAGTTTCAAGCGGCATCCAAGCATCGATCGGTGATAGCCTCGCTGATGGGGAAAGAAAGACTGCAACACCAACTGTCGACGGCTACAATGCAACAACAAAAAATTGGTATCAATAAAGATCTCGACAGAATTCAACATGGTGCTTGTAGGTCTGCAATATCCCTCCCTGCGGAGGTTTTAATTTAAAATAAAATTCCATTTTCTGCTTGAACGAGCTTTTAAGAGAATGAAGCATTCCCTGGTACAAGAAATACCCAAGAGAGTTAACCTATTATGTATGAAGACCTTCTTCACTACCCTCAAATAGTAGTAATCTTGATGCCTTCATCCCTGGCTACAACAACCACTCCGTCTGCACTAAGGCCCTGATACTGAAACCAATTATGGCGAAGAATGCAACGCTTCTCGGCTCGCTCAGCAGCTCCAGTAACCCAATCAGCCTCTTTCTGCTTCGTAAACTGCAACAGCGACGTTCCCAGAGCCCGAGACGGAGGACGTTGCTGACCAAGGTACACGCGAGCGAGCAGAGACGCCGCTGGATGGGCCTGCTGACCAACTTCACGGAACCACTTGAGGATATCCACGTGGTGATACAGCTTCAGTAAGTTGTACTGGCCCTTGTCGAACAGGTCTGCTCCCTCACTTGCAAGAGTGTCCCATGCGACATACACTTGCTGCCATTCGCGCCAAGCTCGAGCCTCGTCCTCAGCCACAGCATCACTTGAGCGTCTGCCACTACTCGTAGTCGACGCAGCAGCAGGCGGCTGGTTCTTCGGTCCATCCACCATCAAGAGAGAACTCATCTCATCGTCCTCATCCTCTTCCTCCACCTCTTCTTCAGTACTGGAACTCGCATCACTCGGTCGAGCAGCAAGCAGCTGGAAAACAGCTCGATGCTCCCTGCCGCAAAGCTTCTTGAGCGCGACGGAACACACGAGTGTCCGAGACGAGATCGCCAGCCTTGGAGCTCATACGGGGGTCCAGCAACATGGCTTTGATCTCATCGTCCACTTCACACACGGATGTAGGACTCGCCAAATGCTGCGTGATCAGCTCTCGAAGCTGTTCCATGCATTGACGACCTGTTGACGTGAACATGTCCACCCGTTGGCCTTGCGTCGTGCTGTCCATTTCTCGGAGGAAGAGCCAACAGCACGTCGTCCTCTAGAGAGAACTTGAGACTGGGACCTGACTGGACCGAGAGCGGACGTCGAACGGAGCGCATAGAAGGGCAATGTCCTGGTCGAAAGGCCGCCTCCTCAGAGGAACGCGCAGGGTTGAATGGTTCATCCCG